ACGGATCTCTCTGCCTCTGTCTCTCTGTACCTTTGCCTTTCAAAATAAAATACATCTAAAAAAAAAAAAAAAAGTGGGAGGACTTGATTCTGCCAAGATATCTTCTCCATGAAGCTGCAACAGGCAATAGCTACATGCTTTGAATAAATCAGAAAAAGATTCTGGTCTATGTTTACTATTTACTTTCCTGGTATAAAAACGTTTTCAGTCAAGCTGTTTCAACAATAGATACCATAGTTCCAATAAATAGAGGCCTACAAGAAAACAACCAAGTTAATACAAGCAATGTTTTCAAAAACAATCACAAACCAGCATGTACCACTACCAGTGAGTTACAATACCCCCCCCCCCTTTAACATCAGAAGTCTATCCAGATATAAAAGCTTTCATCCTTCTTGCCCTGGCTTAGCAGTCAAGCATGTCTCTGACCCCATTCAGAGTATAAACTTTTTACCACCTACTCAACTACAATTATTATCACCAACTAGTAGACTATGACAGGGAAACAAAATCACCTTATAACAAATGTATTGTTTCATTTGAACAGACTTAAACAGCCAGTTCTAATTTCACTACCTTTAACCATAAATGAATGATAATCAAACTCTCTATACCCCTAGTTTTAACAATAACAACATGCTCCTTCTCTCTGCCTCTCCTAACTGGAACAAAAATGCTACCTGCAGTTTTTCTATGTACCATATTTTCAATCACCCTTAGAAAAATTTCCTCCTCTCGATCTTTTTCCATTTTGGCAGTGGGGTTACAAAAACAAGCATACAGGCCTTCATTTGTGACAATTTCAATGCCAGCCATTACTAGGTCAATTCAGTTTGATAAATTTTAATAATGGAATATATTTTTATACTTAATCTTGAAAGACATCAGATGCCAATGGGTTTTTTAAAAAAGTTTTGACACTGGAACACTACTAAATGCTTTATTTTTTTTTTCCTAGCCTTTTTTTTTTTAAGTTGGTTTTTCCTAAAAGCTGTTTTAAATGATTGCTTTGGTCTATGGGAGGCTCTCAGGCCTAGGACGCCACAGGACTCTAAGCTACAGGCAATACTAAGCTTTCTAGGGCAGTTTTTCAATTCCTTCTCAAGGACTTCAGACTGAATGGTCTCCGCATTCCCTTAATCCTGGAGAACAGACTTCTGCAAGTTTTTCAAGTTACTGTTGTGATCACTTCAGGGCCTTGTCTTTGTGCTTGGCCTTCAGAACAAAGATTAGGTCAAAGTAATGAATACTGGGTGCAAATTAATCACATTTTGTCTTGTATGAAAGGACAACTTCCAATAAACCATAAGGGAATTTTCTTCTTCTACCTGAGATTTTTGAGAATTTAAAAGTAAAATGAAAGTAGCTTTAATCCAAACAAAACACCTCCAAAATAGTCAGTGATTCCAACAAACAGTAAACAGCAGCATAATGTAGGTAACACTCCGGGCTCGATGTAATATTTACTAGACATGAAGACAAGTTAACAGGAAGCCAACGAAGGGTACTGACGGTTCACCAAGTGGCAAGTAAATAATGGAATGGCTTTCTAAATTCCAGACAAAATACTTTACAACTTAGCGATCTGAAAAACATCGGCCTAGACGTCATCAAAGGAAACGCAGCCGTCTCTTCAAGTTGCTGTCTAGTCTGAGCCACCATTATTCACGATACAAAGCTCTCAGTTCACTAAAACCACTCCTCGATTTCCTTTCGCCGACCTCTGCATACCAGCAGCCCAGTCTCCCTTCATTCACCGCGCACAAACTCAGGGGGAGGGGAGACCACAGATGTCTGGAAGACACAAAGTAGGAGACAATGCCCCCTCCAGCAAGGAAACGACTACACCCCGCGCCCCAGCTCGGCAGATCCAGAAGCCGGCGACGGGAACCGAACTTCCTTGAGAGTCGGGTTCAAAGTCCTCTCCCCGCACTAAACACCGAAAACAAGTTACAATGCTTGGATTCTCGTCTGTCCCATTTCGTGGGGGAGGAAAAAAAAATTCGCTCCGCTGAAAAGAAAACGTGCTCTAAAAAGGGGAGAGGGGAATCAACTTCAGCTGCCACACAACTATTGGATTAAATTATTCCCACGATCGAGAAGTCTCCAGGCAGCCGGAGGCTGGAGCCTGCGGGCCGCTCGGGGACCAAGAGCCGGTCCCCGTCGTCCCCTCCCCTACGGTCCTGGGGTCTCAAGCCCCACGGCCACAAACCCAGAGCGCTCCACGCCGCCCCCACTCGCCTGCACGCACGAGAAAACCTCGGTGCACGACGCACACTTCACAGGTGCACACCCTACTGACGCATCGCGCCGGCTGCACGGAGAGTTTAGTTACTCTGAGGCTTAAAGTTGTTTCGATTCGAACTCACATAGGCAGGGTTGTTAACAATATATCCTTAGTCGTCTGTTAGACGCAGAGAGGAAACCCGCCAACTCCACCGGCTCCCATTCCCCGCCGCAGAACAGCACCTGGGGGTGGCGTCCCGGCCTCCGGCGTCCCGAACCCCCAAACTCGCCGCCGGGCTGCGAAGGCGGAGCCCCCCGGCCGCTCCCCGCCCCCCACCCCGGCGCATCCCGAGGCGCAGGGTCCCTCCCCCAAACTCGGCCGCCGCCGGAGCCCGGGACGGAAACCGCCGCCTCCCACCCCCACCCCGCCGCCGGTCATCCGGGCTCCTGGACGCGCCCCCGCGGCGCCCCCTCCCCGCCCGCGGCGCCCCCCGGGGCCCCCCGAGGGGCAGCGCGGCCGGAACCTGGGCCCGGCCGCCGCCCTCCGCGCCCTGGACGCCGCCCGCCCCCGCCGTCGCCGGCCCGCGTCCCCGGCTCCCCACCCCGGCCCTCCGGGCTGCGCCGGGCCCGGCTGCCCGCCCGCCCGCCCGCCGCCGGGACCGCGCGCCCGGGACGAAGTTTGGCTCCGAAGAGGGAGCGGGAGCAGCCCAGGAAGGGTAAGGGAAGGGAGCGTCCAAGCACCTCAGGGGAACAGGCTCCACCCGCCGCGGGCGTCCGACCGTCCTCGGCCTGCGGTGGCGGCTCGGCGGGGACCGCAGCTGCTCCTCGCACCTTCCTCCGTCTCCGCCTCCCCCTCGCTCTCAGCTCCCGGGGCCGGGCTAACGCGGCTGCCACAGACCGAGAGGCTTAAAATGGCGCCGCACAAGGAGCTCTTATAAGTCGCGCTGGCCCGCTGTATCCTGCCGCCGCCGGCGCAGCGCGGAGCGTTCCGCCGCGCGAGGACGAGGGGCGGGGCGCGGGCGGCCGCCGAAAGTAGTCCCCGCGCCGCCCGCCGCCGCCGCCGCCGCCGTCCGACCGCCCCGGGGCGGGGCGGGGTGGCCCGCGCGCGCGCCCCGCCTGCGCGTGCCCGCGCGCCCCTCGGACGCTCCCAGCGTGGCCCGCCGGCGGCTCCCTGGCCGCCCGAGACAGCAGGGGAGCGGAGGGGGCGCCGTGGTCCGCAGCCGGGCGGCCGGGCCCTCCCACCCCCACTCTGGCCGATGTGGGAGGAGGGCAGCTCCGTCCCGAGCTGGACGCGCGCTTCCTGTCCCCCCGCGGGGGAAGGGGCCATCGCGCGCCCCGGGCCTCAGGAGCCGCGTGGGGCCGCGTGGGACGGGTCTCGAGAGGGCGGACGTCGGGGGCCCCGCCGCGGGTCGGGGCGCTCACTCCCCCGGAGGTCCCTGCGGTCCGGAGGGTGGGCGCGGCGTCCCCCACCGGACTCCGGGCCGAGCCGTCCCGTCCCCACTCGGTGAAGTGGGCGCCGAAGCCCCGCGTGGTTCAACAAGTCGTCCCGAGTCCCCCCACTGCGAACAGATGACGAGTGGAGGAGGACTGGCTCCCGCGCGCTATCGGTTAGGTCTTTGCTATTTAGTAGCTGACCTTCGTCTGGTCCCACTCGGAGCAGCAGCAGAGCCACTGGTGGGGCTTTTCCTTTGGGAAGAACTGCGTTTCCACCCTCCTGCCGCTCGAGACATCCACGGAGGTTGTTTCTAGGAGGAGCTGTGGAGGAGGCAGCCTGGATCGTGTTTTTAAAAACTAATTTGTTCTTCTTCAGCAGCGTCCCCTGGTTCTCAACTTCAAGGAAGTTGGGAGTGCACCCGCCTTGCCCCCGTCTCCATTGTCATCCTGCAAGAGTGGCATCTGTCAAAGCCGGTCCACTCTCTCTCCTCCATTGTTTTATGCTTATTTTTCCTCCAAAAACAATGGAGAAAGTACAGAAGGCAACAGTGAAAGTTACCTCGGGGGCTTTTCTCCTAGGACTGTAATTAATGCCTATGCAAACAATAGGTCTTTATACAGAAGTACAGGCAGGAAACCTTTTTCATCACCTCATGGAGATAGCATGCTTTGGAGCCAACCTGCTCTCTAAATGACACTTATTTTTCGGTCCTAAAGATGTTTTACTGTATACAGCGGTACCGCTGTCTCTCGCCACAGCTCGCGGGAGCCCCTGCAGTGGAAAAAGTCCACCCGCTAAGATGATGCTTGGTGAGGTCCATTGTCTCCAATGGTTTTCTCATCTGTATCTTTGCAGCAATTGTGTAGAATCAAGTGTGCGTGTTGGTCGCAGTTAATTTCCCTGGTCGCAACTCAAAACAGATCGAACGGAAAAAGGTATTTCATCAAAGTACTGTTTCTAAGACAAAGTCAGAGGTATAAATGGCGTGTACAGGTATCCACACCCCCCCCCCGTTTTAATTGTCATGTAAAGAGTCAAGGAATATTTCAGTTGATTTGATTCAAATTATACATTTAAAATCAGATGACTGATTCTCCACAATTAGTATTTTTTTAAAATAGAGCTTTGCATCTTCTGTGTTCAGTGTGTTTTTGCTAATAAGGCACACTGTTGAAACCTGTTAAGACATATCTGCACCAGTAGAAAATCTAAAGAGTAAGAACACTTTCTATCTGTATTTCTCTGTTCAGGTGCCAAAATAATCTAAGAATTTTTTCTGTAAGTTTAGAATCAAGTTTTTTTTTAGCCCTAGTGATACTTAAATACACAGGTTATTCAAAGAAATGTAAGATTTGCAACAATGCAGCATGCTGTTTTCTCCATCACATGTAAGTATACTTAAGAATTACTGGCATTAAAACAGATTATTTGGATTTAACAAATTGCTCAGAATTTTTATTTGCTTCTCATAAAACAACAGTTGTCTCGTCAAAAATACGAAATAACGTCTATGAAATCAAGACAAATACTATTATCAAACCAAAGGGAAAGAGCATGAAAATACCTAATGACTTGGTGAAATAAGTAATTCTGTGAAAATAATTACAAGAACTTGACTTTGAGCAATACATTTCTTTAAAAAAAATCTCAGGGTTATCTTTTTTTTTTTTTTTCCACCTTTTCCTTCAAGAGCCAGTCCAATGAGTTTGACATAAATTAAATCATTCTGTGAAATGGCACCAAACAAATGGTTCTACATTATAAGGCTGTGTTGTTAGAAACCCAAGTGTCTCCCGCTGGTTTAACAGAAGATACTGCTTGCCATGATACCAGACCATAGGCGTATCAAGCAGTGGCTGCATAGAACCTGAAAACACACACTTTTGAATTATCGTTCTGCAAAAAAATAAAAATAAATGCCCAGATTGTTTTTGCACTTCAAAAAAAGAAATATTAATCAAACCAGCATTGTAAAGAAGATTCCATTCACCGTGTGGATACTTAACTCTATCAAATCCATTAATTAAACCTTTATTGGGTGCCTAAGACAATGAGCTTCCTTTAGAGAGAGGGAAACGGATGAGTGGCTCCTTTGGATTAGGTCCCTTAAATCAATGTAAAATGGTCACCGTGTGTTGACTCGACCCGAAAATAAGCAGAAACGGCAGCAGAGAAGCTGTGAGACCAGGGTGTGGTCACTTTGGATTCTACATCCGAATCCCCTCCTAGCAGAAAGGAAAGACTAAATAATATTCCGTGCATTTAAAAACAGTCCATCCCGACTCTCCAAGAAGGCCCGTCACAATATTTCCTTACAATATGAAAACACTGGACAACAATTAAAATCGGCTTTTCATGTAGCAGTTCATCAAGTGGGCTATTTATGGATTGGGACTTTTGATTTGCAATACATTATCTCAGGGTTCAGTGTTATCTTTTGATTTCTTTCCAGCTGAACAGACTAAGTAGTTGTAAATACCTCTTGTCAGACTACATGGTTGGCTATTCTTGCACACAGAAGTAATCTAGGAACCCACTGGGCAAATGCGGCAGAGAGCCACCCTGGAAGGCTTTGCAGCTGATGCGCACTGCAGAGTGAGGGAGGGACAGTGAAGGTGGCGGGAGGCGACAGCCATGGTGGTGGCGGTGGCCTGGTCCCCTCCTTACGCCAGGAGCATGCTTCCGAGTTATTTGTGTGCTCGAGGCCCTCGTTGGGTACATTTTAATGGCTACCATAGAGAGTGTGGAGGAGAGGCAATGGGACATCACCCATGATATTCAAAGAACACTAAGCTATGTGTTTCTCAATGTGAGAAAGAATGAACACAAATACCGCTGCCTTGCTAAGAAATCATGCTTGGGAGACAGACACCCCCAACATATACAAGCGCACACACACACATATACACATACAACCCTTCTATTAAAAATTTCAAAATGGTTGCAGATATTTCATTCACAAGAAGGTAAAAGGCGTCTCCCATCGCAAGAAGGATTAACTTACCGGAGGATTCTGGGACTGCAGATGTATACTGCGGCAAAATCCTAAATTCATCGAAAAAAATCATTTCTGGACTCCGGCTGCTAAAAATAATAGAATTATAGGAAATCATGGATAAGATTACAACAAGCCATTTTCACATTCCCAAAGTGTTCAGAAAAAAACTGAGTCTTTTCTTTTAACTCATTTCTTAAACAATGCAAATTTTAAAGTAGCTTTTCTTCCCAGAGCAAGCAGCGCCATGAAATCGATAATTTTTGATCTTTCGGTTAGTAGGCAACATGGTGAGCTATTGCAGGGACTGCAGGCAGCAGACATGTTCTTGTCAGCTAAAAATTTTCATATTGTTTTTGTATCCATTGAGATTTGTAGATGTAATATCACCGGTTTTTTGTTTTAGCTTGCACGAGGCTATAGGGACGCACACCCTCAGTTTATCGACATACACATGTCTATTGCTTTATATATATTAAAAACAGGGAGTCTTACTGGATCTTAAACAAAAAATTATGTAAAAGGAGTGGCTGGTGTGATTATAATCCCATCATGCAGGGTCCACGGTTCCCATTTAGTGAAATTTCGCAGAGGGCAACTTCTTAAGAACATCCCTGCTGTGCAGAGTGAAAAGCATGAACAAACCAAAGACAGAATTCATCTGTGTTTATATTTTACAAACAATGAAAAACCTACTCTTTGTATGCCTTTTTTCCCCCACCTTATTATTTCATGAAAACTGCAGCCTCTCCCCGCCCCCATCCAAACACTCACCACCCCAGCTCTGCAGTACTCCGTCCCTCTCTCGCTTCTCCTTCCTCTTCTTTTTCGCTTTCACAAATTCTGCACGCGCCATCTTTGTGTGGGGTGATTCTTTGCTAATTTCACTTACCCATTCTCTTACCAATCAGTTCAGAAATAGAAAATTGGAGTGCGCTTTGGGGCTTCATTTGCCTAAATTTCTTTCAGTCTTTCCCTTCTGCCATAGAAAAATGGAAACGACAGGAAGGGGGAAGCCAAAAAAAAAAAAAAAAAAAAGATAGGATATTTCTATTATTGCCATAACCTGTTGTATACAGTGGTGGTAAAAAAAATTATTAACATAATAGCAACAGCTGCAGCCTAAATAGAAGCTATGAGATAATTAATGTGCTACAACAAATTAATTTACTGCAGGTGCTTCTGCTGTGAACTGAGTAACCCATGCCACATAAAGTCTAAATACAATTATGATTCCCCCCACCCCAACACCCACTAAAACAAAACACAGAGCAAGGTGTCCTGTCTGGCAAAAATACCTATTGTGAAAAGAAAGGGAAAAAAGGAAGACAGAAAATTCTCCCCCAGTTCATTTTCCCTTGCTGCCCACCAACCCATTCTAAATGGTTCAGTCACCGGTGTGGAGTTGTATCAGGTGTGTCTGTGTATGACTGTGCATGTATCGGAGTGAAGAATATGGCATTTTTAAACACGTGTAGGTTTGATCTTAAACCTTAAGTTAGAAAGCATCTGGACCAGCTATGGGTTTCTTTTAAAAAATTAAAGACAGTTTATAATATTGAAGTACTCCGTTGGTTGTTTCAATAAAAATGAGACATAGCTACATGTTATAGCTAAAAGAAAAAAACAGCAGTGCTGAGCAGTTACCTATCTGGTTAATCATTTTTTTTAGAAATTACCTCTTTCAAGAAGGAACTGTGTTTAGAGTGTGGCACGCCTCACTGATGTGTCAGATGTTTTTTTACTCTCACTTGCTGTCAAGTTGAGTGCTTGAGGAGAGTGGTTGCTAGCTGTATCACAAGTGTGTGCCAGAAATACATTGTATCAGGGTAACAGGGCAGGGGCCTGGAGAAGATCACAGTGCCAGGAGCAAATGTCCATTTTCTATTTTGCTCCACTCAGCAAAAAATAACTTTGGGCCTAGAAAAGAAGAGAAATATACAGATTGATTTAAAAAAAAAAACTATTTGTCTCTTAAAATAAGGATATGGCCATTTCTGATTTTTCTTCTACTAATGCTATTGAAAGAAAAAGACTATTTTTTTGCATTGCAGACTCAGTTTTTGTTTGTTTGCTTGTTTCTTTAAAAGCAAATAAATTTTAACCTGGTCAAATTTTCAAGGTTATTGGCTATTAAAATTTATCCTCTGCAGGACCTGAAATTTCATTCAAAGGCTTGCAATACAATATATTAGTATTTTAACACAATGCACGGATTTTAACAGCATCTGGATCTAACTCTGCAGAAATCTTAGTTCTAAAAGGAGACATAAAATTATTCAAATAGAACACTATTTCAGCTACACCCAGAAGGGATACTGCATGGATTTTTTTTTTTGTATGGATTTCTTTTTTCAATGTTTTCTTATATTCTTTTCAGATGGACAAGCAATGCTCTGAATCCCTGCGTTCTCTCTGCAGAGGTATCACACTGTTTCTCAGGCGGTGACAAACTTGCATTTCACTCCATCTTTCTTTTGTTTATACTAAAAGCTTTTCTTTCATCATCTATTTTCAAATCTGCTCGTGTTTTGAATTTACAATTTTAGAATTTGAGTGGGGGGGGGGAGAAAAAGAGACAAAGGCCTATTGGTTTGCTTTTAAAGAGAGAAGAAAGAAATAGCCAATTCTTTGATAGAAACGAGAAAAGTTGACAAGTATGGAATGTATACACCTCCGGTGGGATTTCCCAGCAATTTTCATGTCAGCCGACTGTGTCGTTCCACTGGCATGGAGTTCTCTGAAATCATATAGTTGTATAATTATGGAATCAATGTGGGAAAAGAAGAAAGCTTTCATTTCTGTTCCTGCAAGGGGTCGTCCGTTCAAAATATTTCTCCTTGCACTATAAACCGCACTGGAAACTACGCCGTAGAAATCAGGAGAGTAACCCTCCTTCCCATCGGTCTGCTCTGTTTGTAGCAAACCCATCCCGGTTCCTTCGCCTCTTCCTCATGTGATTTGTTTCCAGAACCCTTATTCAGCACCAGGGACATTGTGCAGGTTCCCAACAATAAAACATGGTGGTTGTTGTAAGCCAGAATGTTCTGGGTGGTTTGCTGTATAGGAAAAGCTAACTAACAGAACTAAGATGATTAATTCTTGAAATTGTTAAGGGTGGCATAATACTGCAAGTTTATCCTAAGCTTTCTAAAACAACGATGCCTAGAAATTTTTAACTGGGAAATCTTAGTGAAACCATTTTGTATGTGCACTCCCAGAAAGACATTTATTTAAATTATACACAGGTACTGTTGTCAGTACAGGATATTAAATATCAGTGAAGTTGATTTCCCTTTTTTGCACAAAAAGGAAATACACAGGTTGGAGGATTTATTTCCTCATTCCACTGGCTCCTCATTGTACCTTCTTTGCTTCTGTTCACTCTGCACAGGACTACCGTTCTAAAGCTCTGAAATCTTTTCCATAATCGATTTTAAAACATTGTTTTATTCTGAATTTGTGCGCTCTGTTCTTTAAGACTAGACTCAGAGCTTTATTTATGATAATGGCTGATTATTGTAAAATCCTTTTTGGGAATTACACCTTGATATTTTTCATTACCTGACTTTAAATAAACCCTTTTGATAAAAACGACTCTCCATGTTTCTAGTAAATGTACCTAGGAGATCTATATCTATATCTATATCTATAGTTTGTGGAGACTCTGGCATTGCCATTTTTGCTACATAAGTAACTCTAGTGTGGATGGATGGATGGATGGATGTCTTTAATACAGAAGTGTTAAGGATGGCCTTTTTTTTTTTTTTTAAAGATTTATTTATTTGTTTGAAAGGCAGAGTTCCAAAGAAAGAGGGACAGACAGGGAGTGCTGTCCACTCCCCCAAATGCCTGTAACAGCTGAACCTCATCCAGGTCTCCCATGTGGGTGGCAGGAGCCCAAGCACTTGGGCCATCTTCTGCTGTGCCTTGCCAGGTGTGTTAGCAGAGAGCGGGGTCAGAAGCGGGGTGGCTGGAACATGAACCGGCACCCATATGGTGCAAAAGCAGTGGCTTAACCCACAGTGCCACAATGCCAGACCCAAGGATGGCCTTTTATGTCAAGAGGTTTTGAGACACCTCAGTTAATAGTTGTACTTTTAGTATCGGTTGATTGAGAATCTCCACAAAAAAAAAAAAAAAAAAAAAAAAAAAAAAACTGCAATAAATTCAGTATCGCTTTTAAACAAATGCATGTTTTATTAATCCCCATGGAAGCTACATGAATTTGAATGCTCTTTGCTAGCATGTGTGGAAGACTTATTTATCAGGGCACAATGTTCAGGGCCATATGGAGTCTTCGAGCCCTTGCTTACGATGGTAATTAAGAAAGCTGCTTCTCTAGTGCGTATTGAAGATGCAAATCCCATTCTGCTGTGCGCTGGCTGTGTGACCTAGCCAGGACCTCTCACCTCTCTGAGTCTTGGCATCACTTAGGTCATAGCAGTAACAGCAGTGGGGGAGTATCAAGGACCCCATGTGGCTCCCGTTTATTGAGCTTCTGTTGGGTGCAGAGCTTGGCCCTCCAACAATGTGGAGAGCATCACCAGGACCTCTTGAAAACATCACAGGAAGGGGAGCGTTCTTTTCCCCATTTTTTTTTTTTTTTTTTTTTTGGAAATGGAAATAGACAAATTAAAGAGTTTACTCAGGTTATAAACTAAGTCAGCTGAAATGGAATTTGAATGCTAGACTTCAGCTGCCCAGTACAGTAGCCATTAGTCACATGTGGCTATTGAATTTAAATAGATTAACATTAAATCAGGGCCAGCATTGTGTCATGGCGGGTAAAGCCGCTAGAGACGGCTTGCATATGGACGCCGGTTCATGTCCCGGTTGCTCCACTTCCCATCTAGCTCCCTGCAAACAGCCTGGGAAAAGCAATGGAAGATGGCCCAACTGTTTGGACCCCTGCCACCCATGTGGGAGATCCACAGGAAGCTTTTGGCTCCTGGTTTCAGCCTGGCCCAGTGCTGGCCTTTGCAGCCATCTGGGGAGTGAGCCAGTGGATACAAGATCTCTCTTTCTGTCTCTCCCTCTTTCTCTGTTACTCTTTTAAAATAAATAAATCTTAAAAAGAAAAAAATCAAGTTCTTTTGTCACCGTACACTTTTAGCACTCAGCACCTGTTGTGGCTACCGTGTTACATGATGTAGACAAAGCCCATCTCGCTTCTCATGGTAGCGTCTCCTTGTATGGCGCTGAACTAGGCTGACTGCCCTTACCGCTGCGTTTTATTCTTCCTCATCCATTTCTTCCTTTCCTCATCCATTCGTTCAAGATGTACTGAATACCTACTGCATTAGATTTTCATTACTGTAACAAAATATACTAGGCAGGCTACTTTGTAAAAACAAAACAAAACAAAACAAAAAACAGTTCACTTTGGCTCATGGTTCAAAGTCCAAAGAGCATGACACCAATTTTGGGGAGGACCCTCCTTGGCTGAATGAGCTCATGGTGGGACTGTGTGTGCCTCCTGTGCCAGTCGGGTCTCCCTCTCCCTCCTTATTAAAGCCACTAGGATTCAATCACATCTAATCTGACCATTCTCCCAAGGCCTCACCTCTAAACACTACTGTTGGGTTGGGTTTCCACCGCTCTTCATACCGTTAAAAGCCTTGCTTGAGCCAAAGCACCTGCTCCAGGCCAGGCACCACTTGGACACTGGAGACCTACCTCGTTGTTGTTGGGAGCAAATTAAATAGAAGTCCCAGAGGTTTGTAAGCTACCAAGTCATAGACAAAAGTGAAATTCCTTCTTGCACCTGCTGTGGTACCATGAGACTCCACACCTTCGAGAGCAAACCTGAGTCACTCTTCTTGGACTCCTCACTAGCCTCCCCTCAGGCACCTCCCCGCAGCCCTTAAGAGGGTGCAGTACCCATCAGAAGTGGACACGGGGTCCCCCATTATAGTGTACACATGTTGGATTTTGTTCTGCCACCTGCTGAACCCCTTGCCTAATTCCCGTGGGCATCCTGGGGTCCAAGGCACCGGAAGCACAGGCATGAGCTCAGTTCAGCCAATCAGCTGCTTCTGTGCTGGGCTTTGTCTGGGGCAGAGGACACAAAGAAGCCCAAGCAGATTTAATTAGTTCAGTGACTGCAGTGGAAAGATCCTCCCTATACACAATTGTCGCTTTTCTGTAATCCTGATGGATGATCTTAGAAGCAGTTTTATTCCTGTGACCCTGCCCTGCCCTGCCATCCCCTTAAGCCTCCTCCAGAAAGGTGGTCCTGAATATCCACCCCTTTTGTGGTCTTTGTAGCAAAGTCTCACTGCAACAAAATTGCAAAAACAAAGTCTTCCTATAGTTATCCTCTCTTCAGTCTTTGGTCAAGGCAAAAAGTCTCTTCTCACTCCCAGGCAAAGAGAGTGAGTTGACTTCCTGTCACCATCACTCCCTGCTGGCTGGGAGTGATGTTTTCCACCCCTTTAGGGTTGGGGCCACAAGGGAACATAAGAAGAGTGCAACGGCTCTTGGCCTGCTGGTTACTGTCCTACACTGGCTCTTGCTAGCTGGTCCAGCTAATGGCTTTGTTAGGGGCACTGTGGGAAACCCATTGGCAGATCCTCCCCCAGGACCCCTGACTGCCCCTCCCTGGGCTGGGCAGGCTTCCACAAGAGTCCTTCTAAGGTTCTCTTCAAGGATCTCCCTCAGTCTTGGTCTCCCATCCCTTTGACAGTCTCACGGTACCCAGTCCTAAGTCATCTGCCTCACATCCCACTCTAACATGCACAGTCGGTCATCTCTTGATGCCTCAGTTGGAACCTCCTGCCTGCCATCCTATCTCCCTAGAGATGGCACTGGGAGCCAGGGCTGTGGGTGCAATGGCAACCATGTCCTCACCAAGCGGTTTAGTGGTTACAGGTACTTAGACTCAGGTTTCTGCCTGTAACTCAAGCTTATTGTTTCTA